TTCTTTAGAGTATTCGTCAACTTGATTTGTTGTTGTGGAAACTGGTTCTGGAACTAGTCCACTTAGGATCCAACCGAAAATAGTATTTTGTGTCAATAGTGTATTTGAAATTGTCTCAATACCTTCAAGTATTATCTGTGGTATGAGATCGCTGCCTAATAGAAGGTCTATTTGAGCGGGAGTGTTGCAGTTGGGATCTGCTAGCTTTAGGTGTGAAACCTTTTGCCAATACTTCCTATTTATATGATAGCTTGGGAGCATATTTGTTAGTTGCGGTAAGACTATAGCTTCTGCTATAATTCGCTTATCCGCTTGGAGGGAAATTAGGGTAATGGGGCAGATTTTATTTGAGTTTTGGACCACTCTTCCGCCCATTCCCGTGATTTCAAAGTTGGCTTGTTTTGTTGGCAGTTGTAGCCTATTTTGTGCCCTAGACGCTATGAAAGATCGTTGTGATCCTTGGTCTATTAAGGCCTGCTATGGGTAGTAATACCCTATTTTGTAGGTATTTTGCTGTGTGGCGTTTGAGTTTATTGTGCCTTTGAGCAACATGGTGTCTTTTGGCAATTTTCGGGATTTTGGTTTTTAGGAGTTGTTGTTACAACTAAACCTGTGGTTCTTTTTGTATAAGCGCTTGTTTGGGGTGATATGGGAAATTTGCTGTAATGAAGCATTGAGTGGTGTCTTTTGTGACAATATATGCAATTGAATTTGCTTTTGCAATTTTTATATGTATGCGCATGTGAAAAGCAATTTGTACATAATTTTTTTGATCTCACGAAATAGTTTCTTTCTATAATTTTTAATTTTTTGAATTTCTCGCAAGATTGTAGTTTATGCCCTCTCGTGCATAGTTCGCATGACGTATGATTGTTCTGTTCGGAAGTGAACGATTGCGTTTTGTACAAGCTTCTGTTTAATTTGTTTTTGCTACTAGCTTGGGGTCTATTGAAGCTTCTTTTTAGGTCGTGTTGTACAATTTTTGTTTTAATTAGCTTTTTGTCTACCCTTTCAGCGATTTTGTACTGGGTAGTTAGAAAGTCTTTCATTTGTTACCACGTGGGGCATTTCTTTCGTGATGAGAGCGATTGCTCCAATAAAAGTAACGATTTTTCTGGTAATGCGGCAGTGCATATGTTTACCAGAATAGGGTCCCAGCTGTCTGTGGGAATATTTTGTGTCGATAAAACCGACAAACAGTTTGAAACAGTGTATTGTAGTCTTATAAACTCTTCACTGGTTTCTTTTTGAATCTTAGGCAAGTTTATTAGTGTCGTTACTTAGTTATCGACCAATATTCTTTCATTTTCATATCTGGATTTTAGAGCTTCCCAAGCCAAATTGAAATTGTCGTCATTTAGTGCGAACTGTTTGACTATGACGCCTGCTTGACCTTTTGTTTTGTATCGGAGGTGATACAATTTTTGTGCTTTTGATAATTTTGGATGGTTGATGTATACGGCAGTGAACATGTCCCGGAAGGACGGCCATTCTTTATAACCTCCATAAAATATTTCTGTGTCACATGCGGGCACCTCGAGATGGATGCCTGAACTTGCCTCTTGACTTTGAATTTGTGGCAACTCAACTCTCGGATGTGGAAATCATAGCTTTTGTTTCTTCGTACTGGTCTAAGCAGTTTTCGTATAGTGCGTAAGCCGATGAATTAAAATCGTGTGGTAGATCTGAATTGTCATAATCTACTATGGCGTCATGAGCAGTTTGGAGACGAGTCCAAAATTTGTCAATATTTTGTTTTTTTATTTCCAATAACGATTCAGAGATGTCCAGAATTGCTTGTGCGTATGTAATAGTTTTATTTTCTAGGGCAATTGAGAGCTCGTTGTAGAGATCAATGTGCTTTTACTTATTTGTACGCAATCCTTCTTGTCTGTTCAAGGGGTATTGCGGGATGTATGCCAATATAGACTTTGAAAATATGTGTATTTTTGTTTTTAATAAATTATTAATTTTTTTTAATTTTTTAATATCTAGTAGTGCTATCTTTACCACAACGTTTATTGTTTTATTTTTCATTTAAATTTACAACTTTGTAATTTTGTAAATTTTCAATGTGTAATTGACCCAATGTATATAGGGCATAGATTATATGCCGTATGTATAAATATGTATGTTCGCACTGCGAAGAGAGCGCGAAGTGAATAATGTGCAGGTATTTTCCCTTATCCACTTTGTAAATATATTTTTGTCTATATATATTTGTTTAGTAAACATATATAGAGATAATATGTAAACGTTAATTCGATATGCATATATGTATGTTTGTCTGTTGTATTTTTATTTCTTTCTCTGTTTGTTTTATGTTTGATATTTTGCCTTTGCTTACTTATTGAATGCAATTCTGCTTATTGCTATATTAAGCATAAGGGGTATTGCTGGATTAATGTGCAAGTGTGTACTTGAATTGGTTTTTTTTTTGGGTCTTGATGGTGTGTTTGAACACACGAAGGTAAGCTATTAATTGGGCAATAAGTTAAGATCCATTTTTTTTTTGTTTTTTAATATTATATATAAGCATGTATTTTGATATACACTCGGAACTGTGTCAGTTTGGAAACCGTTTTTTTATGCTGTTAAAACGGATTTTCTGTTACAGGTTTTATATTATAATATATAAAACTGAAATTTTTACATACATATACGCATAAAATAAGATATGTAAATGAAATAAATACGCTCACTTTGTAGGGTATAAGGTTTTTACATATATATACTCCTTTTGTGCCAATTCGTGTGTTTCTTCTCCAGCTGCTTACAGGTATGCTTTGTTGTTGTTTTTTGTTTAAAAATTCGCGTCCGTTTGTTCTATTTATATTTTGTGCTTAGGTTTCGCGGCCGGTTGTGTGAATTTTTGTTTCTTTAAAATGTTTATATGTTTTTTGATATACATATATGTATGTATAGATTAGCATTGTATCTTTGGTGAGTTTTGTGTCTACATTTTAAAATTAATTAATTGTTATTTTGTCACTGCACCATTTTTAACATTTTTTGACTTAGTTTACAAATTTTGTTACTTTTTTTGTTGTATCACTGCACTGCACTTTGTTACTTGTTTGTAATAATTATTAATTGTGTTTCTTAACACAGTTTTGTAAAAATCCGAAGGTGCCTTTCGGTAAGGCTCGAAGGACCATATGTTAAAACCAGCACTTACTTGACACTTTCACCACTGAGATTAAATTAATATCCGGAATAATTGGTTTTTGTATTTTCAAAAAGTTCACACAATTTATTTCTTTTTTAATAATTACAAAAGGATTATTTCAACGCACTCACTCCCTGATCGCATACCAGTGGAGACGGTGTAAATTTATATAAAAAAAATCGATGGAAGAAAACGAAGTGACTCGCGCGCCAAAAGAAAGTCCGTTGCTTGTTGCTCGAAAGTCGCTGAGAGAAAAAAAGAGTTGCGGAACGAGTCCGGTTTTGCGAAAAATATCATGTGGCGCACAGCCCCATGGATCGCTGTATTAGCGGTCTAATAAGCGAATGGAAGATGGTATGTTGTGTTGTCCTGTGTGGTGTCATCTGGTGTGGTGTATTGGTGAGTACGTGGTGGGCATTATTAGGAAGCGCCAGTTTTTCCCGAGTAGAGTGGTGTACTTGGAGGAAAGAGTTTAACTCATTTAAATAGAGATGAAGGAACATTATCACAAATTATCCGATTCTTTGCTGCTGGTGGGTATCAAGAACGCATTTTAAATGATTTTATGCTGGGCCGCCGCAGACTTCGATATCTATGGTCGTTACAAAATTTCATATTAAATATCATTACTACGCAGTGTAACTGCAGAGGACTGAAACGTTTAGTGGTAGCTTCTATCTACTCATTATATTCGAAACACTTCCTACGGTACAGTAATTTTATTTTTACTGTTTCTAAATTGTAGCTTGTTATTTACTGTTGTGGAATGTGATGAGTGGAATAAAAATTAAAACTGATAAAAAGTTTCAGTACATGTTTTGAATTCTGATGTACGAATCAAAAATTTTATTTAGTCATCGTTCATTTTATCGGTTTTGCGTTTCAATTTATTTCGATGGGCCTCTAAAGTACTTTTGTATAATATAATTTTAAATAAAACATTTGAATAAAACGCAAAATGACATAATTATTTAATTTAAGGAAAAAAATCGAGATATTCCAAAAGAGTTCACTAAACGTAATTAATCAGATATGACCCCATAAATATGTAAATTTTTCATCCAATAAAATTTTGCCGGTTTTGAATAATTATTTAAATGTAATTTTGTGTTACATATTTTAAAAATTCTGAAATTTTTGGTTTAGTCTCATGAATAATAGTGGCTCATTTTAATTCAAATATTGGTTTTGTTTATATTTGAAAATCATTTATGGGAAAGCCTGTACCTGTCTGTCCTTGGTTTCCACAATCACCTCGTATACGTTCAAAATTCATTCAAGGGTGTTGTGAAAACGAATTCAGATTTGCTTAACTGTCGGAATTGCAAACCAATACTGTTTTTTAATGGTAATGCAGAATCTGATTGGATTTTGATATTTTTGAGCATATGCAAAAACCAATAACCGAATCAACTTTTTACTAATGTGACAAAACTTGGAAATGAATAAATTTGGAAATATTTGATAAATTTGAAATACTGTTCCGCAATTTTAGTTTTTATTTTATTGGACGAAAAATGTCGTTGCTTTTTAAAAGAAAGATTTAAGGAGTTTACAGTAATGTACTTGATGGCCCAGGGTATCGTAAGTGAAATTACATGCATGCTTGTATGTATTTTCATTTCTTACACCACTACATATTCAGAGCTAGCGTTCTGTTTTTAAATTCAAAATTCTGTTGTAAGAGTAGCAACATTTATCATACATATTTTTGAATGCGTAAGTGAGAGACGAAAATAAAGCTCTACCATTTTTCATTAACAATGGCCGGCATTATATGGGAAATAATTTTTCTGGTTAACGCTTTCGAAATATTTTTTTATCTTTTCAGTTTTGACAGTAGTGATAACCAAAGATGTGGTGATTGCTGCCCGACACGTTCGAACGTTCAAAATTAACTTGGTTTGAATCACAAAATTTCCCTCGAATCCGGAATATAAGGCCTGTTGACTATACCAAATACACAAAAAAAAATGATTGAAATACACAAAATTATTAAGATAACTCATTCTATCGGTAGCCCGGTTGAGGTTCTTGTTCACAATAAAAATAAAAAGAGTGTATCAGTACGTCCTAAAAGGCGCGGTCAAGTTATTGTTGATAACTCAAATGGGGAATCGGCGGAGCGCTAGTTACCAGACAGAAAAATTAAGGCAATATATCGGCATTGAATAACTTAATGATAACTGGCCAATATTGTATATTTGTATTTTGAATTGTAATAAAAATTGTTTTGTTCTTCTGATTAATTTTTGCACAAAATTTGAAGTATACAATTTCTTCACATTAACGTAAAATCTTTTGCTCGGTTAAGAAAAGTCAACAACTGAAATTTTAACATTTTGTTTGATTACCATATCATTTGTCTGGCAGCATAGCAAATGATTTACTTGGGTTACCCATATTATGGGAACCAAACAAACGATTGTAATTTGAAATTTCAGTACAATTTTTTACATTTCTTAACTTGAAAGCAAAGGTAGCCACCGTAGATAACATATGTATATACGTCAAGTAGCATGTTAAATATTGTAACGATCTACCTTTTGTAAAAATTGGGTACAAACTTGCATTCATTTATTTTAAAATATATATATAGTATTACGATACTTTAACAATTACCATAAAAATGTTAATTCCGTTTTATTCATTCTAAATATTTGCAAATTTTAGAAGAAAAATCTCAAGCTGAAAATGAAATTCTTTATTTTAATTCTAATGAAAATTTAAATTACCTATTAAGTACTAAATTCATTAATTTAAAAATATTATTTTTGAATTAGCATGTATATATGAATATAATAAGCGACTATTAAAAATTAGTAAATAAATGTTACTATTATTGTATAACCATCAATATTAGCTATCTATAAACCATTTATAAGATTTTTAACAAAAAATAATGTGAATATAGCATATACATAGATATATATAATATTGAAAACCATATCTAAAATTATTACTAAAAATGAATAAAAATAGAAAGGAAAAATAGGACTATATGTATAAACATGTAAATTAAAAAAAATACATCAATAAAATGTGGGATGAGCCACAATATAATATAATATTCAACAATATAACATGGCAATACCATGTCAGCAAGTCAGCTGATCCTGGCTTACAAGGAACGCTGAAACGAATACGACACAAAAGGGAACAGCGAATACATAGTCAACAGTTAGGCTCGAGGACGCCTGCTGTTATTATAAAAGACTATACAACACGGTTAACGGCCCTTCTCCTGCTGGCAGCCACCGCGTGCGCATCGTTCCTGCACATCAATCACCACACGCACGTGGCGGCCCACGCATACGACCGATTGGAGGACAGCTGGTGTTTTCGCGCATTCCAATCTTCTCAGCTTTGAGCGCAGCGCATAAAACGTTCCAATCATTTCATTTTCTTCTGCAAAAATCGCTATACCAGATAGCGTGGACGTGCAAGTGGCTGACAGTATAACGCCGCTCCAACGTGTTTCTACACGGTGTCCGTTATTCAATTCCGAACAACCAGCCTTGTGGTTCGCACAACTTGAGGGACAATTTCATCTCGCCGGAATTTCCGATGAAATTACGCAATACCACTATGCTTCTTCACATCTTGACGCCAGAGCCGCCGCAGAAGTGGAAGACTCTTTGAAGTTCACAGAAACGCCTTACACTCGCTTAAAAGGAACACCTGGTCGAATGCCTTACGCTCTCGAGAAGCACGACTACAGCAGTTCTCGATCGAGAAACTGGTCGAACGCTTACGCTCTCTCGAGAAGCACGACCACAGCAGCTCGATCGAGAGACCTTGGGTGATAGAAACCATCGCAATTTCTCCGACATCTCAGAAGCCTTGACAACACTGTTCCTGACAATATCCGAACTAGTGGCTCAGCAGACTGATAGACAACGCAATCTATTCTTGCGTCCCAAGCAGACATGAATATCGATAAACTGCATCTTGCAGACAAAATAACGATATCGCACTTACAGCACAAATCAATTCGGTCCAAGAACCAGCAGCAACATCGGCAGTCGAATCACGCATTTCGTCTCGAAGTTTCAATTAATGAGCTATTCCAGTTTTGAGACAAGTCCTATCTCGTTCCGCTTCTCGTCATCGCTTTCGTTACTACTTCTCCAGCACCGAACAACGACACGTGCGGTATCATCAAAATTTCGGCAATAAAGGAAGTTGCGGTCGCCTTGCACATTTCAGGGAAACCTACCGTCGGACCGTTAGTGGCGGTTAACGGCCTCACTCGAAACAAACCGCCTCTTCGTAACAGACCGTACCAAAATCCATTCTGGTGAATACTGGCGCTGATCTCTTCACTTTTCCCAAGTCTCTCGCACTTGGTCGCCGGAAAAAACACTATAATCTCCGCAGCAAATGACTACGATAAACACGTACGGTTTCATAACTCTATCATCAACCTTGGCCTCAGACGAAATTTTACATGGCGCTTCGTAGTGGCGGACATACGAAACCTATTATTGGCGCAGATTTTTAGCACATCAACGGCAGTATCCTCAAACGAACTTTAGCTTGCACAGCTGAAGACGAGGAACTTCAGCAACGATGAAGGGAACAGCACGATTCACTGAACTTATCGACCATCTAATTCCAGGCTGCAATAAACCAATTTATTGCGGCGTTTCTAGCGACCTATTCGTCCATCCATCATGAGGAATCGTAACTGTTTGACAATCAGTGACCGTTCACCAGGTTTCGAGCATTTCCGATAAAATGGGGCCGAATGTGTCACTCGCACACTTCGCGGATGGATATGCTGGAGGCCGTTACGAATCACGACCGACAGTTGAGAGTCAACTTTAACGCTCCCGCTCGTCTCCTGGCAGTAAACACATACACACCACCACTTTCCATCCACAGTCGAATGGAATGGTGAACGTCTTCACCGCTCATTTGAAGGATGCTATTCGTTGTCACGAAAATAACTCTGGGTCTACATGCTACCAATCGCTCTTCTTGGAATTCGCGCTGCCTGGAAAGGAAGATCTTGGGCAACTCCCTGCCGACTCTTGTTTATGGAGAGCCAGTTCGTCTACCAGGTGAATTCGTCTCTTCGCCACGATCTGTTTTCCACCATCCAATATGACAGAACGCTTGAGAAACTACTTCGCAGACCTCGTACCTCAACCCTACCTGATACGGTCAGAGGTAAACATTCATTTTTAAAGAACTATCGATACGTTCATGTTTTGCGTCGCGAGCTCCACCACGCATCTCACTTCACCGTGAAGGACCAAGAGTCATTTCAAGGCATGGGAAACATTTCATCGTAAACGTCAGAGGCGAAACACTACAGTTTCGACGATCGACCAAAGCCTCTACCTCCTTTCCGACGATAGCTCAACGACAGTGAGCAGAACACGATGACAAAACACAACGCAACATTAGTTTCTAGCGAGTCATCCGAATCTGGGACATCTTCGATTTTCGTCGTCATCATACCGCCCATCAGAACTCGATTTCAGCTCACCATAACCGTTACACCAAGACGCGTCAGTTTCCGCTGAACTATTCACCTTCCTAAATTATCAATATTTGATAACGCTACGAAGGGTATACTTGTATGAGCAACATAAATATAATATACTATAATATAACATGGCAACACCATTTCAGCAAGTCAGCTGACCTGGCTTACAAGGAACGCTGAAACGAATACGACACAAAACGGAACAGCAATACATAGTCAACAGTTAGGCTCGAGGACGCCTCTTTATAAAAGACATACAACACGGTTAACGCTCTCCTGCTGGCAGCCACCGCATGCGTATCGTTCCGCACATCAATCACCACATAAAATTAATTATTTTTATTTATAAGTAAAAGGTAACGCACACAGGCAATGGTAACCAAAATTTAACCATAGCAAGTGAAGAGGTAACGATGCACCAGTTCTCTGTAATCAATGCTAACCAAATAACCTATGAACCAGTTTTCTGTAACCTACAGTAAGCATAGAAACAACAAAACAAACTCTTTTCAGCAAGATGGATAACAAAAACAAAATAGCTAATGCAAAGGACGCGTTAACCAGAGTAACAGATAATTTTCCAAATAGTTGGCAAATAGAACAGTGAAATATATTGTGGCGAACCAAATGCCAAACAAATCAGAATCGAAGATAAGCTGTTGGAACCAACTAGATAGTGAAACTCGTAGTTGCCTGATGTTAGAGTAGAAGCTTAAAAATATCCTCGATAACGGCTGGTTTGTAGCAAACACAGTTCTAAATAGAGTGTTGCCGTGAAGAGCAATTAGTAAACATGTTGAAAAGTTTTGTGCTCGAAATGAAAAATATCGTGCAATATATATTTTTATTCAATATAATCTCCCTAACATAATACACTAATTCCAATGATCCTCCAATTACTTTATGCCAGCCTATAATGACTCTGACCGGAAGCTGCAAAAATCCTCTACAGGTAATAGCTTTTCATTGACGAAAATGCTTTTCACGAAGAAATTTCAGGTTTCTAAAGAGGTAGTAGTCGCTGGAACCAAATCTGGTGAATAGATGGATGCTTAAGCATTCGTACTTTGTTGAATTTGTTATTGTTTAAACACCGTGAGAGGTGCATTGTCTTGATGAAAAGGTTTTTCTACTGCAAACCAGGTTTTCTCACGATGTTTTTATCCAGCTGATGCAATAAGCTGCAAATATTGAGAGTGTTTTTACTTTTCTGCAGATAATCAATCCAAAATTCCTTTTGCATTCCAAAACTGATGACATAACCTGTTTGCTGATCGGACTTAATCCACTGTAAACGTTCTTGTTTCAATTTAGACGGTGGTAGATCCCTGTCTCATCCATAGTCATAAACGAGCAAGAAATTGGTTTCTGCTTAAAACGCTCCAAATTATATCGAGAATTTCCGATGAAATTCGCATACCACTATGTTCTTCACATCTTGACGCCAGAGCCGCCGCAGGGGAAGATCTTCTTTGAATGTTCCCACAGAAACGCCTTACACTCGCTTAAAAGGAACACTTCGAATGCTTACGCTTCTCGAGAAGCACGACTACAGCAGCTTCTCGATCGAGAACCGCGAACGCCTTACGCTCTCTCGAAGCACGACTACAGCAGCTTCTCGATCGAGAGACCGGATAGAAAACCATCGTTCTCCGACATCTCAGAAGCCTTACAACACACCCTGACAATATCCCACGAACCAAGTGGCTCAGCAGACTTACGATGACAACGCACTCATTCTGCGTCCCGCAGACATGAATATCGATAAATTATCTCTTGCAGACAAAATACAGATATCGCATTACCAGCAGCACAAATCAATCCGGTCCAAGAACCAGCAGCAACGGCAGTCGAATCACGCATTTCTCGTCGGTCGAATTAATGAGCTATCTAGTTTTAAGAGAGTCATATCTCGTTCCGTTCTCGTCATCGCTTTCGTTCGCGCACATCTCTCTAGCACCGAACAACGACAGTGCTGGTATCATCAAAATTTCGGCAATAAAGCGAAATTGCGTCGCCTTGCTACATTTCAGGAAACCTACCGGACCGTAGGCGGCCCCTTCGTAACAGATCGTGCCACCAAAATCCAATTCTGGTGGATACTGCGCTGATCTCGCACGTTTCCAAGTCTCG